TAGTATAGCTGGACATGGTGGCTCACACCTGCAATCCTAGCACATTGGGAGGCTGATGCAGGAGGATCACCTGTTTCCTTTGAGGAAAGCAGAAGCTTTTTAGCTTGATGAAATCCCATTTGTCAATCTTTGCTTTGGTTGCCTGTGTTTTTTGAGGTGTTACTCAAGAAATCTTTGCCCAAACCATTGTCCCGAAGCATTTCTCCAAGGTTTTCTTCTAGTAGTTTCGTAGTTTCATATCTTACATTTAAGTCTTTAATCCATTTTGATTGAATTTTGTATATGGTGAGAAATAGGGTCTAGTTTCATTCTTCTGAATATGGATATCCAGTTTTCCCAGCACCATTTATTGAAGAGACTGGCCTTTCTTCAATGTATGTTCTTGGCACCTTTGTCAAAAATGAGTTAGCTATAAATGGATTTGTATCTGGGTTCTCTATTCTGTTCCATTGGTCTCTGTATTTTTTTTATGCCAGCACCATGCTGTTTTAGTTACTATAGCTTTGTAATATATTTTGAAGTCTATTAATGTGATGCCTCCAGCTTTATTTATTTATTTTTTTGGGGGGGTGGGGGGTTTCTTGCCCAGGATTGCTTTGGCTATTCGTGGTCCTTTTTAGTTTCATATGAATTTTAGGACTGTGTTTTGTATTTCTTAACAGAATGTCATTGGTATTTTAATAGAGATTACATTGAATGGGTAGATCACTTTGAGTCATTTTAACAGTATTAATTCTTCCAATCCATGAACATGGGATATCTTTCCCTTTTTGTTTGTCCTTTTCAATTACTTTCATCAGTGTATAAATAGTTTTCCATGTAGAAAGCTTTCACTTCTTTAAATTTATTCCAAGGTATTGCATTTATTAATATTTATGGTTATTGTAAGTGGGATTGCTTTCTTAATTTCTTTTTCAGGTTGATCGCTATTAGCATGTAGAAATGCTACTGATTTTTATATGTTGATTTTGTATTCTACAACTTTACTGAGTTTATTTATCAATTCTAAGAGTTTTTTGGTGGAGTCTTTGGGTTTTTCTAAACATAAGATCACGTTGTCTGCAAGCAAGGATTATTAGACTTCTTCCTTTCCTATTTGAATATTCTTTATGTCTTTCTCATGCTGAATTTTTCTGGCTAGGACTTCTAGTACTATGCTGAGTAGAAATGGTGAAAGTGGGCATCCTTGTTTTATTCCAGATCTTAGAGAAAAGGATTTCAATTTTTCTACATTCAGTGTACTAGTTGTGTATTTGTAACATATGGCCTTTATTGTTTTGATCTATGTTCCTTCTATAACCAGTTTGTTGAAAGTTTTTATCATGAAGGGATATTCAATTTTATCATGTGCCTTTCCAGCATCCATTGATATGATCATATAGTTTTCATCCTTGGTTCTATTAAAGTGATGTATCATGTTTATTGATACATATTTGCATATGTTGAATCATTCTTCCAACCCTGGGATAAATCTCACTTGATCATGGTGAATGATCTTTGTAATGTGTCATTGAATTTGGTGTGCTAGTACTTTATTGAGGATATTTGCATGTATGTTCATCAGGGATATTGGCCTGTAGTTTTCTTTTTTTGTTGTTGTTACTTGGGTTTTGGTATCAGGGTAATACTGGTCTAAATTTGGAAGTATTTTCTCCTCTTCTATTTTTTGGAATAGTTTGAGTAGAATCAGTATTCTTCATTAAATGTTTGGCAATTCAGCAGTGAAGCCATCAGTTTCTGGGCTTTTCTTCAATGGGAGACTTTTTATTACTGTTTCTATGTCAGTATTCATTGATGTTCAGGTTTTCTACTTCTTCATGGTTCAATCTTGGTAGGTCGTATGTGTCTAGGAATTTATCCGTTTGTTCTAGGTTTTCCAATTTGTTATTATATAGTTGTTCATAGTAGTCTGTAAGGATCCTTTGTATTTCTGTGATATCAGTTGTAAAGTCTCCATTTTTGTCTTTGATTTTATTTGGATTTTCTTTCCTTTCTTCTGTTAGAAAGATTTGTCAATTTTGTTATCTTTTCAAAAAGCCAACTTTTCTTTTTACTGATCTTTTATATTTTTTAGTCTCAACTTGATTTATTTCTGCTCTGATCTTTATTATTTCTTTTCTTCTACTAATTTTGTGTTTGGTTTTTTCTTGCTTTTCTAGTTCTTTGAAGTACATTATCTTGTTGTTTATTTGAATTCTTTCTACTTTTTTGATGTAGGAGTTTATTGCTATAAACTTCCCTCTTAATATTGCCTTAGCCATATCCTATAGGTTTTGGTATGTTATGTTCCCATTTTCATTTGTTTCAAGAAATTTTTTAATTTTCTTCTAAATTTCTTCATTGACATTGGTTATTCAAGAGCATGTTGTTTAATTTCCATTTATTTGTACAGTTTCTAAAGTTCCTCTTGTTATTGATTTCTAGTTTTATTCCATTGTGGTCTGAGAAGAAACAATATGATTTCGATTTTTTTGAATTTTTTGAGTTTTGTTTTGTGGCCTTACAGATGGTCTATCCTGGAGAATGTTTCATGTGTTGATAAGAAGAATGTGCACTCTTGCAGCAGTAGGGTAAAATGTTCTGTCTGTTATGTGCATTTGGTCTAGAGTATAGATTAACTCCAATATTTCTGTGCTGATTTTCCATCTGAATGATTTTTCAGTTGCTGAAAGTGGAATATTGAAGTCCCCTACTATTATTGCATTGCAGTGTATCTCTCCCTTTAGATTTGTTAATATTTGCTTTATATATTTGGGTGCTCTGATATTGTGTGCAAATATATTTACAATTGTTATATCTTCTTGTTAAATGATCTCTTTATCATTATATAAGGACCTTCTTTGTCTCCTTTTTTGACTTAAAGTCTATTTTATCTGATGTAAATATAGCTACTCCTTCACTTTTTTGGTTTACATTTGCATGGAATTATCTTTTTCCATCCCTTCACTTTCAGTCTGTGTATAACTTTATATGACTTTATAGGTTAAATGATTTTCTTCCAGGTAGCATATATAGTTGGGTCTGGGACTTATTTTTTATATATTTAGTCACTGTTTTTGTTTTTGTTTTAGAGACAGAGTTTCACTCTGTCACCCAGGCTGGAGTGCAGTGGTGCAATAATAGCTCACCGTAACCTCAAACTCTTGGTCTCAGGTGATCCTCCTGCCTCCTAGCTAGAACTATAGACACATGCCACTGTACCTGGCTAACTTTTTAATTTTTTATAGAAACGTGTTCAAGTGATCCTCCCATCTTGGCTTCACAAAGTGCTGGTATTAGATTAAAACCACTCTATATCTTTTAATTGGAGAATTTAATCTATGTTATTTTGATAGGAAAGAACTTACTACTGCCATTTTGATATTTTTTTCTTTTTTTTTTTTCTAAGTCTTCTCTTCCTTTCTTTCTTTCTAACTTTCTTTGTGGATAAGAGATTTTCTCTAGTAGTATGTTTTCACTTATTGCTTTTTATTTTTAGTGTATCTATTATAGGTTTTTGCTTTGTGATTATCAAGGATTACAAAAAACATCTTAAAGTTAGAATAAGTTATTTTAAACTGATAAAAACTTAACTTTGATCACAAGGGAAAGAAACAAAAAAGCAAAGAAAAAACTAAAAAAATACACTTTATCTCATCTTCCCCATTTTTTGTTGTCTCAATTTATAACTTTTTATTTTGCCAATTTCTTAATTAACTGTTGTAGTTATTATTTTCAATAGCTTTGTCTTTTAGCTTTCATACTAAACATATGAGTGGTTTACACACCACAATTACAGCATT